GCACCTTGGCTACATCACACGATCTCTTCACTTGACCAGGTGCCATCCGATTGGCGCGATGCTTGGATGAGCTTGTTACCAAAAGTGACACACCCCATGAAACCCAAGGACCTACGCCCACTCGGCATCACTGAAATCTCTGGACGTGTTGCTGCTGGCCTGGTCCAAAAAGAGCTGCGACCTTATTTAGTCGCGCTCCTGGAAGCGGAACCGCAGTTCGCCTACTCACCAGGACGATCCACAGACGCTGCTTTGTCGCGAGTCTTTGCACATTGTGACAAGGTCATTGCAATGTGCACTCCTGCACCCTACAACATTCTCGACTCTCGCTTTGCGCCCGCAGCCAAGCCCTTGGTATCAGGAGGCGGCCTACAACTGAGCTTAGACCTATCGAACGCATTCGATGTGTTACCTTGGGCCTTGATTGATAGGGCATTGCAGCTAGCCAAAGTCCCGACATCAGTCCGCGAGTTGGTGATTTGCTGGCACAAAGGCCTTACTTATCACCTGACGATACAGGGAATGAAGGCGAGGATCCCAGCGGGGCGTGGACTACGCCAGGGCTGCAGAATCTCTCCATTAGTGTGGAGCATGGCCACCATTGTGCTACTGCATGACCTGGGTGACCGCATAGGAGATCGTGATTGGGTTAGAGCCATGATTACCGCTTTCGCGGATGACATACATGGTGGCGAATTGATTACCACCACTGCACAACTCGACAAGCTCCTAACCAATCTGGGACACCTGCTTGATGTGCTGATAGACGCGGAACTCAACATCAACACTCTGAAGTCAGCCTTCTTGTTGCGGTTCACTAAAGGCTTTGCTGCTACGTGGAAAAGACGTCATGTTCATCAGACCAAGGAGGGACAGCTGCTAACCTTCCGGACACCAGCAGGACGCCTGTTCAACATCCCGGTAAAGGATGAGCATAAATACTTGGGCCTCATCATCTCCTATCAACTGCCGGCGGCAAGCTCCATCACACATCGTATACAAGCTGCGTGGATCGCATATGGACACCTTCGGCCGCTCCTCACATGTGCCAATGCCCCCAGACTGAGTCTTCGACTTAAGCTCTGGGCGGCTTGTATACCTGCAGTTCTCACCTATGGCTTACATGTGTTGAATCTGACGGAGAAGCAGATCAATCAACTCCAGGCTGTTGCCACCAGACAACTTCGTGCCGTTGCCAAAACCCCCTCACATCTCACACATGAAACCACCGAGGCACTTCACGAACGCCTCAGGGTCAAACCTATGCGCGAAGTTCTGCAACAGTCACAAAACAGACTACTTGCCAACTTGCAGCAGCTGCAATGCGGAGGAGCCATACAGCGAGACACCGTGCATTGGTTGCAACAGCACCATCTGCTTGCTAACTCCGCTACCTACCCCGAATCCATTCCTGTCCCTTCCACTGCACACACTTTCACGTGTCCCGATTGTTCAGCAGTCTTTGAAGACTATCGGATATTCAGAATGCATCAGTCCTCAGCTCATGGCCTCAAAGCCCCTACACGCAGGCACCAGGTCAGTTTCGATCGCATGCAACATTCAACAGCGGGACTCCCTATTTGTCGGCTATGTCAGAAACGATTCTCCAGGTGGACTGGCCTTCGTGCCCACATCGAGCAGGGATGGTGTCCGCAACTCGATCCGGATATCAACCTTGTGGCCTCGACAACAATCCCTGCCCCTGCCTCGGCTGTCGAGAAGCTGGAGACTGCTGATCCGACAACCCATTCAGGCACAGCCGCTGTTACACCCAGTGCGCAACTTGCCAAGCGTGTGTCCACCACCATAGCAGAGCCCGTTGCATCGACTGACATCCCTCAGGACGTCACACAGCCTCCACCCCAGGCTGGTACCGCTGTCGAACAAGCACCCTCCTCAGGATTGATCTCAGCACCCAAGCTGCCAGCGGATGTGACTGTTGCGCTTGGTCTGAATAAGCCTGGCACTGGCACTCAGGCCGAAATACGTAACCCGCAATGGCAGAAGCGAGTTGGTCCAGCCGCCGCTGTCCCAATGGTGCAGCGTGTCGAACTGATGCAACAGTTACGTACCCGGGGATGGCAGGCCGTTATGCAGGATCCTGAACTTCGTGACGAGGTCCGCCATCATTGCCCTGAGTGCTCACAATGGTGCTCTTCTCCTGCTGGTCTTAAGGTACATTTGACACATGAACACCCCCAGTGGCTTGCCTCGCAGGACTTTATTCTCAAGAGGGCGCGCCTGCTCCGACGAACCCTCACGAAACCCTGTCATTTCTGCCTCGCTACACGCTTCGATCTCCAACAGCACTGGAAGCGTTGTCCTGTCATTACTGTTGCTTGTTACCTTGAGCACAGAAGCCATGACCTTGCCTGCCACGACCAACATGGCGACACCGACTCCATCGCAGACGGAAGGACCGCCCAATGCCAGACAACAGGAACTGGAGATGTTCGGCCACCTGTTCTCCTCCTTCGACACGGCTACGAGCGGCCAAGCTGCGAACAAACGTCCGAGGCCAGAGCAGAAGGACACCGTGATGACTCCCGTGCCCAGCGAGTCTTCGCAGCCGCGGCAGGCGAACATGGAATCAGCTCCGAAGGGCAAAGGCAAAGCCAAAGGACAGGGGAAGCACTCGGGCAAGGGCAAAGGCAAGGGCAAAGGGAAATCCAAGAACAAAGGTCAGCAGCCCACCTCCGAGATGTCTGCTCAGAAGGATCCCTGGAGCCTCGACACCTGGACGGACCCAGACTCCTGGAGCACAAGCAGCTGGACAACATCGAGCCACACGTCCACCGAGTACTCCACTGGTCTGTTGATGCAGGTGGCCAGGATGGCACTTCGCCACGAGCAGCAGCTCCACATTCTCCAGCAGGACACCAGACTTTACATGTATTTCAAGCCCAATCAGGAGTACTCCGTTCTTCCCATGATGCTCCAACTCGCGACGGAATGGCGCCAGACTATGGAGTCAACTCCGGAGAAACTGACTATGTCTCTCCGAGAGCTCATGATCAGGGGGCTACTCAAAGAGTGGAAGACTCGTCTTCAGGCCTTTCAGCGAAGCGAGGAGACCAAGACCACGGCACAGCGACTCCATTGGCTGGACAGCCTGGGCCACTGGAATCACATGCACTGGTGTCCGACCAAGCAGGAACTGGTGTTGACGGAGCGGACCGAATCTCGATCAACGGAGGAGCTCTTGAACATGATTCAGGAGATGGAGGAGCTGATCACCGGGGACTCCATAAAGACCTTCAAATCGATGAGACAACTCCGGGAATCCTACCAAACGGAGTGGGTACAGTTCCTGGTGGAAATTCAGCTACGCGGACCAGGCGACAAATTGTGGACTATTTTCAACGATCTCATCGGCAGTGCAGCGCTCCACCTGCTCGCCGCCCGGCTGCGGCGCGACCGCCATCCTTACTCGGGCCTTGCTCAGAGCATCCAGGCCCAGCTTTGGTGAGGTCGCCTCCTCAATGCCTTCTTCTTGATTTCCCTCTGCACTCGCTTAGTCTTGCCAATCCAAGCTCCACCACATGTTACATGAACAGTGCCATTCATGCCATGCTTCATGTTCTGGCGATGCTCAAGCCGAACGATCAGGCTGCACTTGGGCAAATGTGTCACCTTTGGGGAGCCATTCAGCGTCAACCTCAGAACTTTGATCCAAGTCACAATTTGCATTGGGTCATGCTGATGAGTCCCTGGCCGCGGTTGTTTGTGCAGAATGATGCCGCTGAATTTCTTGCCCATATGCTGTGCAGACTGCGGCTACCCTCCGTCGAGGGGAGGTGGGAGGCTCGCAAGCTTGATGCAGGCCGAGACCTGCAATTGCACGATGAGGGAAGCTTGCATCATGCCTTACCATTACCCATCCAGGGGCACAATAGCTTGGCCGACTGTGTTCGGGCCTGGCACTTGCAGTCGAAGACTCATGCACTCGCCCCATTCCAGCACATCACCACCCTTGGTGTGCAACTCCTCAGGTTTCGCACTTATGCAGTGCACCATCCACGACGTCGGCCTGTTGGCAAGGATCTCAGACCCATCACTGGTATTCTCGAAGACATCTGCGTACCGCAATTCTGCAATACTCAGAATCTTGATATCCAGCCTTGCTACTTCCAGGCGGTGGCTATGATTTTACACCGGGGAGCATCCGTCGACCAGGGGCACTATGTCTGTGTCTGGAAAAGGGCCGATACATTGCTGCTTCTTGATGACTCACGAGTTGCACGCCCATGCACAGCAGCTGAAGTCGAAGCTCTCCCAACGGAAGTGTATCTTATTTGGTACATCGCCCGCCAGGCAGCCAGTACGGATGGCTGATGATGATCCGAAGTAGAGTGTAGTGCAAAGCCATCGACAACTAGTCGTGGCCAAGTGTCCAAAAGAGACACCGTGTTGCAAATGCAACATGCTCCGACCGCTTGGCGAAGACTCCCCTTCGTTGCGTCCGCAAGAAGAATGCATATATATATATATGTATATTATGCCACTGTAGGGTGCCAACATGAAAGCCCACGGTTTGTAGCGACCACCAGGAATTTTCGCTCCTGAGCACGGAAGGAAGGGTTGCGAAGCAATTGGGGTTTTGAGCCCTGGGCAGGCATCTTGGGCAATGCCGTGGCGAAATAGAGTGACAATGATTTGCCGTAATACACAGACTGGGGGGACTGCGCTGACAAGTCCAGGTTGTAAAGTTCAGGAGTCGCGGATTTGGAGGCATAAAACAAAGGCATTTCGGTGAAACTCGAATTCTATATAGACCTCTCGAGCTGGCCAGACCTGATAAACCCCCAAAAACCCTCAACCGAGTGAGCCTGGGTCGAGTTCCTAGGCGACCAGGCGAGGGGAGCCGGAAACACCCCTCGCGACATCGCGACAGCGCCACACACGGCTTGAATGGCTTTGCGCCGTGCCTAAAACTCTTAAACCCTAAACCCAAAAACTCTCAACCTTGTGCCCTTTTCCTGCAAGCCTACGCCTCTGAGGTACAGGGCCGTGGATCGCTACCAGCTCTACGCATCGGAGGAGGAAAGGCGGTTAAGGATTTTCCGGCTGAGACCACTTCGTGGCCCCCCCCAAACAAAAGCGAATAATGTAGATGCCTGAAGAAGTATTGCAGTATTAATGCTGCGCCGTAAAGGTTCTTACTAGTCATAAAGCATTGCCTTTTTCTGCAGAAGTATCCATACACCAAAACCCTTTTCCGGTTATTTAGGACAATGGAAATCCCACGAAGGATCTTTCAAAGCATCTCCTGGCTTTTCGCACCAAGGATTAACCTTCCCCCACTCAACTTAACCCTAGATCCTAACCCCCGGCAAGCCTCTGCCCAGAGCGGTCTCCTCCGCGATGCGGCGGAGCTTGCAGAATCTCGTCCGCCCTCCTTGGTGGGCCTACTGGGGTGCCCTGGCAACGAGAATTCAATTGTCTTGGCCTACGGGGTTGGCTCTTCATCAGCTCTTCTTCGAATGATTCCTGGCCGGTCCGCTTCGAGCTGAATCTAGAAGAGTTTGTCGCACACAAACACCTGCTTGGTTTTGCCGCTCCGGAAGTGCCTGCTTCAAGGCTCTTTCCCCACCAGGGTCCGGCATGCCAGCATGCCTGCGTTGCCTTGGAGGCCCGAGGGACTTTATGAACTTTATGCTATGAAGTTTACAGTCCAGGGTTGGATCTCCTTTAGTGCATGTGTGTTGGAGAAGGTGGCCATGAGAGGTGGCAGCAAAGCTTGCAAGACTAGCAGGATTGGGGCAACTGGCTGTGAGAGTGGAACGCACTGATTCGATGCAGAAGACACCAACCAGCCCCCCCAACACCCTACCAACCCTACAGCCTTCAAAGCCCCAATCTAAACCCTGGAAGCCCAGACACCCCAAACCCTGATGCCCTCAAACCCTGAAGGTTCCACTGAAGGTTCCAAGGCCCAAGGCTTCAAACAAACCTCGTGCTTTCCCAGCTCCTGGGCCCCTCCGCACTGGAGATGGCAGAGCACCTTGTCTCGCAAAGTCTATGATGTTAGGACTCTTGTGAGTATGCTTGCTCTGCTCGGGATTATGATTACTATGCTTGTGATCATGAGTCTGACTATTCTGCTTATGGTTACGAGTATGTTATTTTCTTATGACCACGAGTATGATGACTATTGGTATGAAAATTATGTCTGTGTTGATGAGCATTATGACTATGACTACGATTATGATTTTAAGTTAGGAGTGTTCCGAGGCTCAAGACGGCTCTTCCATCTTATGGCTCCACGTCCTCTTGCTTGAAGGCTTAGCGGTAGCTATAACTTTTGTTATATGTAGCTGTAGTTGCCCACAATCCCGATAAAGGTACTTGTAACACCGTGTGCATCTTACAGCAGCAGCAGTGTTTTTCGGAATGCTATATCCCAATAGCACCAACTCCACAGAGAACTGAAGCCCAAGCCACACCGGAAGCTACAAGCCCGAAAGTCTCTAGGAGAAGAGAGACTTCAACGAGCAAACGGAGGCCCAAAAATCCATCGAAAAAGATCTAATCCGAGATATCTGAACCTTCAAACCGAAAACTCCACCCCTGAACCCTGAACCCCTGAACCCCTGAACCCCTGAACCCCTGAACCCCTCAACCCCGGAACCCCTGAACCCCTGAACCCTTGAACCTCTAAACCTCTGAACCTCTAAACCGCGAAGCCTCTGAACCTCCAAACCTCTACACCTCTAAACATCTAAATTAAATCCTAAACACTGAACCTCTGAATCTACTAGACAGGTAGACCTGTCGCTGCGGAGAAAGGTCATTGCATTAAAAAAGAGCCTCTAAATTTCCCCAGAAGTCCAGGCGCAGCCGAAGTTCTCGGCTTCCGTTGCCTCTGCTTTGCTCCGCCCTGCTGGGTGGACTCCGGGCTCTGGACTTCCTTCACAGGCCTGACTAGGAGGGTTTAGGGTTAAGGGGTCAGGGGTTTAGGACTTTGGGGTGTGAACGGTCGCAGCAGCAGCATCGCTCTGCATTCCACCATACTCTAGGCTAGAGTCAGACTAGACCAGACTGGACTCGACCCGATCAGATGAAGACTAGACTCGGCTGGACTGGACTAGACTATGCTCTACTCTGCTGTACAGGGTTATACTATGCTAAACTGTGCTTTGCCACGCTACGCTGTACTAGGCTAGTCTAGGCGAGTCTATGCGAAGCTGTAATATGATGTACTATGATGTAGTATGCTGTGCTATGCTAGACTAGAACAGGCCAGACTAGGCCAGACTGTGCTATACCATGCTGTACTAGAGTGTACGGTGCTATACTTTGCTGTCGTATGGTAGAGTATACTATACTATCCCACTTTATGTATGCTATACTATACTATGCCATAGCTATACTGTGCTATACTATGCTATACTGTGCAAACCATGCTATTCTATGCTATGCTCTGCTATGCTAGTTATACCGGACCAGGCTAGACTAGACTGTGCTATACTAGCAAGACTAGACTAGACTGGACTGGACTGTGACATGCTGCTATGCTATTCTATACTGTATGCTATGCTACACTATGCTATTTTATGCTATGCCACACTCTGCTATGCTATGCTAAACTACGACACACCCGACTAGACTCGACCAGACTAGACTATGTTGGAGCTCGAGATTTCCGCAGCCCAGCGATTCAAAGCCCCATGAAGCCACGCGCACAGCTCAGGGAATGCTCCATCATCCACACGGACTGGCCTCTGTGGGCTTTGGGCATGGGGTTTGCAATGTGGTCTCGCCGAAGGGTGGCGGATGAGTCTTCTTGCCTGAACTCGCGCGTCTGGTGTTGCGTGGCATTTTGAGAGAGCCGTGTGCTGTGTTCTTCACCAACGTCTCCCGGTAATCCTGGGTTCCTAGCACCGTGGCAGCTCGTCGCCGAGATGTTTGTGGCGTTGTTGTAAGCTCTTCAGTGCATTGCACGCAGGATGTCAAGCCCGAGAATATCCTCATCAACATTCCGCCTCGCTCGGCCATGCTTGACATCATGAGGCTCGATTCAGGGTTTGAACTGGGATTTAGCCTAGGCACGTATGGTGTAGGATCTTTTGTAGTGCAGAGGATTAGTTTCCATTCATGGCCCTTTTGTCCATGCAGCGAATTCGACAATAGAGACATGCATGTATGCATATATTCACCAGTCTGCATGCAAGTATGCAAGCATAGTATGCAAGTGTGACTGCATGCACGTATGCAAGCATGGTGAGCATGTATAATGCACGAATGGATGGCTGGCTGGCTGGCTGGACGGAGGGATGGATGGATGGATGGATGGATGGATGGAGATGCGATCTCACCATCCCATTTGAGTACCCAACTAGGAAATCCCACACCATAAGCCGTAATCCCGCCAGAGCGCGCAGACTCGCGTGCATGGCTCTAGCAGAGAGAACCCATCGAGCCCAGTACGTTCCACGCGGAGCCTCTGAAGGAAGCTGCCCTTTGGCCGTGCCGAGCGGATTCGTCTCATGGAGGCGGCGCTCCGGGAAGGCACAAGGGAGTTGTGGGGTTTAAAGCCGTAGGGAGTTGTGATTTTAGGTTCTGTTTCGATGTTTTGATGTGGGGCTCTTGCAGCATACCGGGTTGAGGTTGGGGGATGGTTTGGGCTTCGAGTTACAGCGGTGTTTTCATTGGGCCCACTTGTTGTGATGGACTTGTTCATGCAGGGCTTAGTGCGTCTGGAAATCTTGACAGCAAAAACTGGCGCTCTCTGAATCTTTACGAGTGTTTGCTTTTGAAGGCAATTTAGGGTTAGGTCATGCAAGGCATGACTTGAACATAACCTCGAACAGACGGTAAGGCCTGGGTTGTGTGCCCGCTGTGAGGGCTGTGTGTAGCCCCCTGCCATGTAAACTGTCTTTGTATGAGCACAACATGAAACCGTGCAACATCTAGTCGTATCATATTCCTTAACATAGTAGACTATGATCTAGTTTGCGATAATTAGGGAATGCCCTGCCATGATGTAGGGTTTCGGGTGGAGGATGGAGAGCTCGGCGCCAGATATTCGGAAGATATCCCAACGTTGGATCCACAGAGCCCTTGAATTCAAAGCTCCACATGCTTTCTCATATAGTATAGTTGCAATTTGTATACTATAGTATCATATTCTGAAACATATGAAACGTACTATAATCAATGCTGCACATCCTGAGTTGTCACAATTCAGTCCGTGTCCTGACCAAGGTGCATCGGCAACATTCTGCCTGGTGGACCTGGGGAACAGCTGCATCCTGCTTCATGCTACTCTATATAGCAGCACATTATAGTATGGTCGGTTGCATTATACCTTTTTCCATCATATGAATTACAGTATGGACTACTTTAAATATGTTGTCTCCTATTGTGTGACGGCTGCGAAGTGCCTTGAATGTAAACCCCTTCCCTAGTATAAAAGCTTAAATAATTGTCAGTATGATTCCTTAGTGCTCCTTCTGATATGTGTACTATAAAGAAGCCGAAAACCCTATTCTAATCATTATGACCCCTATGTTACATGTTTACATGCTTTCGACGTGCGCCTTTCTAGCCGAGGCACCAGGGATCGCCATGTCTCGGTGGACATCACCACAATGGAGTACAAAGCAGTGGAGGTGGCCAGGGCACGTTCGTGCGTCTATGCTGGTGTGAGTTTGTTTGGGGAATGTGCTGCGCCTTCTGGTATGTAAACCGCTGAATCCCAAACCCTAAAGCCCAGCAACCTAAACCCGCAAAACTTCTGCTGCGGAGAAAGGCCTTTAAAAAACACTCAAATCTCAAGCCCTCAACCCTAAATCCTAAACCCTAAACCCTAAATGACCCTAAACCCTAAACCCTCAACCTCAACCCTGGCCTGGCGTCATCGGAAGTTCTGCTTTGCCCATGTCGGAACCCTAAGAAGCTGTGCTAATGTTGCCTGGGGGCCTAAATGAATAGTACTAGTAACCCCATGTAGCCCCCAAAGCCTATTCTGATAGTTAATATTAATGCCCCTGTATTATGACTCGTAGGATTTGACCTCTTCTGGGGCTCCAAGGAAAAGGGTATTCTCACGAACAGCCAACAATGGGTGGTAGTCTGATCTCAGCCTTAGCTTAGGCCCGAGACCCTAAATCGTTGACAAGACGTAAACGTTGGTTCAGCGTTTTGGGTCTTTAGTAGGTGATGCTGAATGCGGGCTACGACACCGGAGCTGACATCTGGTCACTGGCATGCACGGTCTACGAGCTAGCCACTGGTCGCGGCTCGGATGAAGAACGGGCTTTCGAGTTTAGGGACATGTCTTTGATGGCTTCCGGCTTCAGGGTTTCTGTCTGAGCCCAAGGGCCAGGCGCCGAAGCCGTGATCCCTCCCCTACTCCCCGGCCGGAGCCAGACGCACTCAGAGCTGGAGATGAGAAGCACTTGGCTTCCTCCTCATCATCATGATTGCACCGTCAAGGGTGATTTGGGGTTCAGTTGGACCGGTACGGAGAAGTCTCACCAGAGCAGGAAGCATTCGGGAGAGCAGCGGCGGCAGCAACAAGTGGCACAACCCACTTGCAGAATACTCCGTGGCAGACTTAGTCTGCAACGCTCCACAACACCGAGAATGGTCACCACTACGTTTACCACGGCACCTGTTTTCCTCGTTGCATGCGAGTCATTTCTGCTACCACCCTCGTCGTCTTCGCCATCATCACAGTCGAAATCAGCATCCTCGTACTTGTTTTCGGGTTCGGCATCATCCACCATAAAACTCGAGGAGCGATGTGCACATCGACTTCGAGCGAAGACAGCACCATGTAGTGGTTGTTGCACCTAAAAGAGTCTGGAATAGGAACAGTTATAACGCGAGAAAGATGAGACACGCACAAGAACACTGAGGCCGCGAAAGAGGCCAATCACAACTGTGGGACCAACAGAAACGACAACAACGAGGGGTCAGTGGAACTACTAGAGTAGCAACGGCAAGAACTACTTCAAGGATAGCCAGCGATGGCAATGGCAGGTACCGGCAGCAACAAGAACTTTGTGAGCATCGCTACTAAGAGCTATCTTTCAAGGGCTGGTGCACTTCAACCGCTTTCAATTGCGTGATGAAATTGGAGGCTACCTCTTCGATCCGCGGCGTAGCTTCGCGCGGCCGAAAGGGCTGGCAGTCACTTGATTCGCAAGGTTTGTTGCTCTCAGGACATGAGGAAGCCAGCATTGCGTTGAACAGCTTCATAGTTTCTTCATCAAGGAGTATTGGGTTGTTTCGTAGTATTGCTTCGATGGGCTGCCGCGGACTACTGGACATTAACGTCATCGTAATATGTACGACATTGATGAGTGCCACAATGTTCATACCACAGGCCTGCGAAGAAAAAGGCATAGTGTAGATATATGACTCTGAAGCATCACGATGCCATCCCTTCAACTGTCGTCAGTCTCGAAAGAGGGATCAGAAGTATCGTGATCATAGCACTGCATTTGGAGTGCTCGTCTGCTGCAGCATATGAGTGTGGCCAGTCAAAATTCTCGGTACGAAAGACGATGCTTTGCATATTCAACATATTGAGGCAGGTGAACTTCCTAAACAGCAGTGTGGTGCCGGTACTGGGCATGGCACTTGTATGTATTTACGGCAGATTGCTGTGGACGGTTAATCAGCAACTAACTACGACAATCGAAGAGATGGCAGCCAGCGCAACAATCAGCCCTCACCGGCGCTGGACCACCAACAACGTCGGTGCTGCATCCACTCCATAACTATCAAGGTTCTTCAACCTGACTTCAGTCTTTCGGACTTTGGGTCGGATGTCCGGCATGATGTTTGAGGATGAGCTGCTACGGTTATGCTGTGGGCGTTGGCTCATCCGGGGTGTTTAAGTACCCCTATGTTGCCCCGGCTTCTGGGCCATATATATTGCGATGTCAACATGGTCGTCTTTAGATTCAGATCTTTATTCTTTAGTGCCATGTCTTCTTTGCTCCCCAGCCGCAGTAGCGTCAGGGTTTCCACGTCAGGATTTGCACTGCATTTATCATCGCACGTGCAGGTTGCTAGATGCAACATTGACCGCCTCAGCACCAAATTCCCCAAGCCTTCCACAGGCCACGAAGTCCCCAAACCTTAAGGCGCGTCCTGCTCTGGCTAACGGACCGGAGCACATCGCCCAGATCGTCGAGCTGCCCCTTGGGACGAATGCTGTGTGGGGCTCTTGGATACGTTTTCGGTTTCACACGGTGCTTTGGGTCTTGCTGCAGTCGTGGAGTTTTGCAAGAAATACAGAACATGAGCTTAGAGTGTCCTGCTTTGTTACTGCTACTGCAATGATTACCGCCGTAGCTGCTTCCACTTCTGGCTGAGCAGCAGCAGCAGCAGCAACTACAGCTGCTGCTCCTGCTTCTGCTGCTGCTACCGCTACTTACTACTACTGCCATTGCAGCAGCAACAACTACCACGACCTCTGCCCCTGCCACTACCGGTACCACTAGCAATCCCACTCCGACTACCCCTACCACTGCCGCCAGCCCCTGCCTCTGCCCCTGCCACTACCGCTACCACGACCAGTCTTCACTGCGACTACGACTACTAGTACAACAACAGCAGCGACAATTACTACGACGACCACGACGACGAGTGCCCGTATTCATCGTCATCATCAACACTCACAGCACTGTCCATCGCTTGCAAGTGCAGATGCGGTCTCTCTGCATATCATGAAAAAGAGTACTACTAATGTTTGTACCGAAGACCGATAGTACCCGCCATTGCTTTGAGTATTGCTGCGGCACAGTTGCTGCTGGGGCTGCTTGTGCCAGTGTACAGCGACAAATCCGGGGCGACGACGACCCCGGCTGCTGCTGCTGCTGCTGCTGCTGCTGCTGCTCCTGCTGCTCCTGCTGCTCCTGCTGCTGCTCCTGTGTCACCCCTCATCGCTTCGATACCTACTGCTGCGAAGACAGCTCAATCGTTCGGCCGTTACGACCACGACGACGACGATGACTGCTTCGGTTACTACCGTGCTACTGATGGTGCTGCTGCTACTACTGCTACTGCTGGCTGACTCGCACTACCCGACCCCCCTTTTGCTTTGTTGCATCCGTTGCGATGTCAGACAATGCGAAAGCCTAGGCCTAAGTTTTCCTTGTTATCATGCTCGTACAAGTATTACCCAACACCATATTCTTCTGATAATTACGGCCCCTATGTCAGGCTGGGGCCGCTGCCATCGTCGCTGTTGGGTCGAAGTCGCCGTCTCGGTACCTTCTTCCGAACGACGGCTGAAGGCGAAAATCACAACACAAAAGCAGCGCAATATAGTGTGGTATACTACAGTATGTTCTGGTATAGCATTGTATATCGGTATACTGTAGGGTTAGGGTTGAAAACAGATCCCTGTTTAATACAACCTTCATGCAGGTGGTGATGAGAGGGGTCTCTTTGGGCCAATTGCAGCATCCATGTGAAGCAGAGCATCGCATAAGGAAGGGGCCTTAATTCATTAGGACCTATAGTAATTTGTGGGGTGCCTTCGTATAATCACAGATAAAAATACCACCAAACCCCTATTCTAGTTGTTCAGGTCCCTATAGTAGCTGATCTGAGCCACATGCTTTTGATGAGTGCTGCTGTGACACGCTGGGGTTTCTGTGAATGGCCGCAAGCCCTAGCCCCAAAGCCCTGGAACAAGACCGCAGGTTGAGGGCTTCAGGCTTTATCGGGTTTCCGAGATTGGGGCTTAGAGGGTTTAGGGTTAAGGGTTTAGGGTTAAGGGTTTAGGTCTTAGGGTTTAGGTTTTTAGGGTTTAGGATTTAGGTTTAGGGTTTAGGGTTATGTGGACGGAAAGATGACGGTATGCAGTTCTTGTGAAGAAGCCCCTCGACTCAATCCGGATTTGTGCAACTCTCAACTCCAAGTGAATCCCGGAGTACCAACCCAATCCTCCGTCCAAACCCCCTAAGCCCTCCGCCCGGCAGGTCTTTTGGAATCCGCCGCGTGGCCTTTCCAGTCTGCGGATGGCTCTGAGGCGAGTTTAGTTTGGGTAGCCCTCGGAGGTTCTGTTGGGACAGTAGCAGTGATAACACTAGCAGCAAGCATGACATTGTAACATCGATGCTTATCTGATTGCTGACAACACGGACAAAGGTGATGTGCTAGGAATGCTTCGTTTGCAATGTAATGGTATCTAGCTTTCATAGTTAGTGCTATTATCCCCTTGTAGTCCCCATTACATCTATGGTATACTTCGCCCGAAAACGCCCAAAACGCTTTTTCAACTATGAATGCCGCTTATATCGTTGTGGTTCCGAGAGTCAGTAAGCTTCCTTGACTTCGGGACAGGTTTCATCGCAGCATGCAGGTTGGGGAGCCCCATCGGCTCTCAGACCCAGGAGTTTCATTCGGGGCTTCAGGTTTTAAGAACTTCCGGTTCAATGGCTCATGGATTAAGTGGTTCAGGGTTTACGATTACAGTCTAGCGCCCCGAGCTGCTTACTGCAACAGTCCTTGCACATCTGCACTACGGTGCGCATCTCCCAGATTGCTCGACCCCGACGGCAACCTTCAACATTGAGTTTTGAATGTTGAGCCTTCAACTCTCATGCTTTCACTGTGAAGCCCCAAAGCCGCAGGCGGTAGAGCTCGAATCCCCAGACCTCCAAATCCCCAAACCCTGAGCCCTAAACCATAGCCAGAAAGAACGCCTGCAGGTCGCAACGTCCATGTCAACGCTTCCTCGATGCGGCTTGATAGAGAGGCAGCGGAGATTTGGGGTCAGAAACTATGGGTGCACCATCAGAAACACGATTTTCAATACACAGGAGATTCCACATGCAACCCATGCTTTACTTCTGCTGCGAAGAAGGCGAGCCCTTCCATGAGCCGAACGAAGCCGGGTGATCTCAAGACGACAGAACTAAAGCTCAACCCCTCGCACTCTCAGAACCATGGCTCAGGGCTCGCACATCTCCCCAGGTGCCCTTGCTGACACCACTGCCTGCAGCAGGGAGAGAACGATAGAACCCAACTCCTCACATCAGATGAACTCCTTCGTGTAGCACCTGGCACGCAAGATCGGTAGGCTGTGGAAGCTTAGAACACTCTCCTCGGAGTTTGTGGAGGCTTGCGGAGCACCTGCCCGAGGAGCCCTCGAAGCTGTTGGCGCAAGTCTTGTCACCCATGCTGCAGGCGCCAGGGCTTGGAGTTTCCAGGAGGAGGCTGATTTGGAGGGCCATCGACATCGAAACAGGAGGTCGTCGTCCAAAAGGGGGTTAGGAAGCTCGTGGTTGAGTGGATTTGGCCTTCTGTTTCGTTTGTTCAAAGCTGCTTTGTTTGGTCCAGTTCCAGGACCCACACAGCGACCGATCGCATCACAATACAGCGGAAGGTCTGGCGGTCGTCGCGGTAGTCGTCACACCTGCAATAGTACCAATAGTAGCACAAGTCGCGGTAATTGCGGTAGCAGCAGTGGCAGCAGCAGTAGTCGTAGTCGTCCTCGCAGTGGAAGTGTGGTGGTGGCGATCGTCCTCGTGGTGCTAGTCGTATTCGAAGTCGTGTTTGTAATTCGGAGTGATAGTCATAGTAGCGGTAGTGGTACTGGTAGTGCAGCGGTGGTGGTAGTAGCTTTTGGCTTCAGTCAGTTGGACAGCTCCGCTCCACCATAGACATAAATTCTAGCAATAGTAATATTCATAATCAGAACAGTAATCACAACAACATAACAGCCGATCGTCAAGGCCGAGCCGAAGGAGCGCTGTACGGCGCAAGAGGCGTTGGAAAAGATGCAGCAGCCGCCCGGCTCTCGCCGCATCAACGGCTTAGGGACGGGAGTGGGCCTAAAGAAAAAACCACTTTAAACCCTAAACCCTAAGCTTCAAGCCTTTAGGCGTAAACCTCATGAATCCCTAAATTTTATACACTGAACACCAGACTCCAAACGTTAGACCCGAAGCCCCAAAACCCTTGAACCCAAACGATAAGCCGCAGCGGCCCTGAGCCGCTGAATGCTAAACCGAGAGCCCAAAACACCCAATCCCAAAACCTCAAGCCTAAACCCCAAAGCACCGAAAGCCCAAAATCCGAACCTCAAGAACATACACCACAAGTGTAAATATGGAACCTCAAAAAAGTATCCCTGTTTTAGATCCCTCTAACCCACCACAAATCCTAGGCTCGAGTCAAGCCTTCGAGCTGCAACCGCCGAAGAGCCGCCGCAGGGCGAGGAGAAAAGCTCCGTTTGCGACGACTTCAGCGTAGGTGTCTTTAGGCTTGGGGCTTTTGGGGCTTGGAGCGTTTAGGATGTGGGGTCCAGGGTGGGGTTCGAATTTTGCAGCCCTGGAGTTGTAGGTCTTCGGAGTGTTAGGGGTTTGTCGAAGTCTCGAAAACTAAGCAAATGCCTTTGTGCATTCTCCGCCCTCGTCGTTCTTTGACCACTTCTTGTTTTCATTTTATAACTCCATGGTTTGCTGGCTCAACCGCTGTGCACCCTCATCCCTGCGCGCCCGTGCCGGAGATCGAAGAGGCCCACAGAGTAGAGGCAGGCTTAGATCTTAGGAGCTGACAGGAATCGGGTTGCGGGTTTAGGGTTGCATGTTTCAGGCTTTAGGTCGTTAGGCCTGAGTGCTCAGAGGTGAGTTTGGGTTGAGGGGCCTCGGCCGAAAACTGCGCAACCTGAACCATGGCTCTGCAGGCAAAAGCGCTAATGCTTTCATCACAAGTTTGCATACATATGCCTGAGCGATGGGGAGAAAAGGACGACAGCTAGTATGAGACATCGATCGACACTCGTTGCATATAGTTTCTGCATTCGATGACTCAGGTTTCATGCGCGTGTCTATAACAAGGAAGCGTCTGTTCGGCCTTAAGTTTGCTCCCTTAAGCCGCAAGATCTTCCGAGGCTTTGACGTGATGATGACGCCGCCGAAGAAGAAGTGACTCTCGGACGGAAGTTGTGCGGTTGTTGGTGGAGTTGGCGTGGTATTTGGCGCAAGATGATGATAACATTACATCCAACTAGAGAGTTCTGATAGTTGGCAGTTGACAGGCAATGACTCAGACGTTTACGCAAGGCTTTCAAGCCTGGGATAGGTGAGTCAGATCCGGCAGCACGCCAAAGTCTGAAGGCACAGCTGGCCACTCTCGTACGAGTCGCGAAAGTCAATGGCATAACAGAGCAACCCTACTACTACTACTACTACGACTACTATTACTACTACTACGACTACTACTACTACTACTACTACTACTACTACCACTACTACTACTACTACTACTACTACTACTACTACTACTACGACTACTACTACTACTACTACTACTACTACCACTACCACTACTACTACTACTACTACTACTACTACTACTACTACTACTACTACTACTACTACTACTACTACTACCACTAGCACTTCCACTGCTACTACTACAAGATGATTACAACGACAACGGCAGCTACAACAGCAACTACTACTACTACTACTACTACTACTACTACTACTACTACTACTACTACTACTACTACTACTACTACTACTACTACTACTACTCCTGCTGCTGCTGCTGCTGCTGCTGCTATTGCTACTGCTACTACTACTGCTACCTGCTACTGCTACTGCGACTACTGGCACGACTGCTGCTACTCCTCGAAGCCGCAAGATCTTCCCAGGCTGTGACGTGACAGCCACGGCGGAGAAGAAGCAGAAGAAGAAGCGACTCTCGGACCGAACTTGTGTGAAGACGACCCACCTGAGCGAAGATCATATCATAGTCTATGCTGTTATTACATGTAATGGGTGAGACCTGACAGAGCTTGTGTGCATCTTCATTTGTTGTTTAGTTTGGTCTCTGAGGTGTTCGCGCTTGACACTAGGAGCAAAGTCTTCAGAACACACATCAGCAAGGCTTCAAATTCAATGGCGTGTGCGTATTGAATCAAAAGGCCTTCACACATGATTGTTCCCCTCTCGCACCAAAGCAGCAACACGCACCTTGTCTCTGAACTTAGGCCCGAAAAAGTGCAAAAAGATCGCAGTCTAGCCATGTTAGCTGTTTTCTTTGGGTTCGCTTACTTGCGGCTGATGTGGCACATGTTCGTTTCGAAATTTGACAGGAAGTCGTCCGACAATATAGGACATTCGCGAGACTATTTGCTGCTATTCTTGACCCACCAGCCGTCTTAGCCGGGAGAGACTTCACAAGACCGATAATTCTCTGGGCTATTCTATTCGTTTTCGTGGCTGTAGTAATAGACTGTTTTCGGGTTTCATGCATGCCCTCATCAGGATTTGACTCTTTCATGTTCATAGAAGCCCTGGTCGGCGAATTTGTTTCAGCCACTTTCAGTGTGTTTCAGGCTTCAAACATGATGTCGCAAGTTAGTCCTTATGTACTACGCCCCCAAGAGAAGCGTTTCGAAATTCTCAAAGTGACAACTCCAACACAGGAGTCAAACATAAACCCTTGCCCCACGCTAACCACAGACACACAATTTTCCATGGAAGTGCTGTGGAGATGCTTGCAGGAGCCTGGACCAAAAAAATGTGAGTCGTGTTTATGGTTTGTTATTGTTTAGTTTCTTTGATGGTTTAGTTTTTTGTGGTATGTTAATTTTGTTATGTTTTTGCTATTGGTGTTTGGCATTCTGGTTTCGAGATACTTCAGAACGGCACTGTTGTCTGTTTCAGTTTTTCAGTTTAGTGCAACTGACCCGACGCGGGCAGAGTGAACACTGGGATTGAAACGGAAAAGACTAGACTAGATAGACCGGTAGTGATGGAGAGCAGCGCGCATCATCAACTTGAGCTGTAAACCTGGATCACGAACTCACACCATCCCACAACCTTGGACCCCGAAGATGACCTCAACCCTCGACCATAAACTCTAATGAACCCTAAACCATGATGGGACTTCGTGCTTTGTGCCCTATAGGAAACGGGAGCTCGTCAAAAACCCTAACCCTAAAGAGACACGAGCATGAGCTGAAGTGCAAACGTCTTCGAGGTTCCCTCGGCGAGCTTTATGACAGGACA